CTGAGCTCCAGGCTGCTCTGGGGGGTCTCAGTCTCTCCTGTCGAAACGCCTCCGTTCTGCACACAGTCAGTCAGTCAGAGAAGCAGTGACTTGCACATCACAGCTGATACAGCCTGCCCGGCTGGCTAGGGTCAGTCCCACTGTTCCTGCCCCATGACCATTCATTACCATCCTGGAGGAATCATTCACTGGGCCAGCCTCTGGGTCCCACGAGGCCTTTTCTGGCTCCTATTGGAAATCTGCCCACATAGGTATTTGAATCCAAATCTAAGGCCAGTGGCGCCCCCCGTGCTACCTGCACACTAAGCAAGGGTGGACCAAGCAACCCTTGGGCAAACGCTTCCCTAGAGTCTTGCTGTAAGGAAGGTTTCCCAGACCCAGACACAACAGCCAGCAGTGGTCTCAATGCTGTATACAGAAGCAATTGCCTACTCCTGCTTAAAGTTCTCCTCTTGGTCATCGCAGGATGGTGTTCACCCTTTATACTCTAGCATGAGGGCTCACATTTCATGGCTTATCCACCAGAGAGCTGCTGCACTCCGAGACAGCCCCGAAAAGCATGACCTACATTCTTTGCTCCTAGTTATACAGCCATTAAAACACACTTCCCAATACAGGCAGTCCCCGGGTTACGTACACGATAGGGACTGTTGGTTTGTTCTTAAGTTGAATCTGTATGTAAGTCGGAACTGGCGTCCAGATTCAGCCGCTGCTGAAACTGACCGCCAGTTCTGACTTACATACAGATTCAACTTAAGAACCCCAAGCGTCCCCAAGTCAGCTGCTGCTGAAACTGATCAGCCGCTGATTCCAGGAAGCCGGGGCAGAGCAACTGTGCCTCGGGCTTCCTGTAGTCAGCGCTGGTCAGTTTCAGCAGCGGCTGACTTGGGGACGCCTGGGGCAGAGCAGCTGGGGTGCTGCTGGGTTGCTCCAGTAGCCCCGCTCCTCGCTCCTTGGCGCTACTGGACCAACCGGCAGCGCCCCAGCTGCTCTGCCCCAGGGTCCACAACAAAAGCCTGGTCTGCTGGGGGGGGGGGCGCACTAGCTGCGCCCCCCGCCCCCCAACAGACCAGGGACACGGGGAGCAAAGCCGCAGCGGCGGGGTGCCTCGCCTCTGAGGCTTTGCTCTGGCGCAGGACCCGCTTTGCTCCCAGTGACCCTGGTCTGCTGGAGACGGTCCCCAGCAGACCAGGGGCACCGCGAGCAAACCCGTCGGGGCTGCTGCTTTGCTCCCGATGCCCCTGGTCTGCTGGAGACGGTCCCCAGCAGACCAGGGGCACCGCGAGCAAACCCGTCGGGGCTGCTGCTTTGCTCCCGATGCCCCTGGTCTGCTGGAGACGGTCCCCAGCAGACCAGGGGCACCGCGAGCAAACCCGTCGGGGCTGCTGCTTTGCTCCCGATGCCCCTGGTCTGCTGGAGACGGTCCCCAGCAGACCAGGGGCACCGCGAGCAAACCCGTCGGGGCTGCTGCTTTGCTCCCGATGCCCCTGGTCTGCTGGAGACGGTCCCCAGCAGACCAGGGGCACCGCGAGCAAACCCGTCGGGGCTGCTGCTTTGCTCCCGATGCCCCTGGTCTGCTGGAGACGGTCCCCAGCAGACCAGGGGCCCCGGGAGCAGCTTTTCTCGCCCCGGAGGTCGAGGTGGCTGACCGCTGCCTGCGAGCTCCGGGGCGAGAAAGCCCCGTTCGTAAGTGCGGATCCGACGTAAGTCGGGGACTGCCTGTACTCAAAACCCAGAGAGCCCACGCCAGCCCGTTAGCTCCTGCCCAGAGAGCACCACATTGCTGCCAAAGGAGCCATAAGACCTGTCTGAGCCCAGGCTGCTCAGTGCCCTGATGGATTCCACCTGAGATCAGACAAGCAACTGCTGTTTGGGCTGCGGCTGCTGTCTCTGAATAGGAGCCTCTCATCACTGGGATGTGGCAAGACAGCAGGGCCACAGAAGGCATTTCCTGCCAGCCCCACAAGAGTGGGCTCCTGATGCAGGCAAAGCCCACTCTGAGCAGCAATGCTGCAACCTGGAGCTGGGGCCGGCAGGAGACCCGCGCTCAGGGACATCTCCCACTCCCAAGCCTCCAGAGCACTGGGGTGTGAGCACTCCTGCACACTATGCCCAGCTGGGATCTGGGCAAAGGGAGACACTATGCCACCAACACCCCCAGCAGGAGCATGAACCATTCCCTCACCTGGGGAGTCCTTACCTTTGAGACACCATCCAAGTTTCGTGCAGCTGAGAAACCTGGCCTGAAATGCACAGGGACAGTGGGGGAGTGGGAGGGAGAGAGGCCAGCTACCCACCCAGCTTCTCGGCAGGTCCTTGGTGCACACAGTGCAGGCCTCATGCCCAGCACCCCACACGGCTCAGCACAAGCTGGGAGTGATCTCAGCCCTCTTACCAGCACATCAGGGGAGAACCTGACGAGACTTCAAGCAGACATGTCCTGCAGCAGCCACTGCTCCGCTGAGGTGACGTCAGCCTCCCGGAGAGCTGGCAGGCAGGACACACTGTACATACAGGCTTCAGTGTTCCCAGACTGCTGGGCTCCATCAGCCACAGCGGCCCATGAGCCTCATCAGCCACAGCTTGCGTCTACAAACTGAATTTCACACTCATGTGCCCTTGAATAAAACACAGGTGGCTGAAGAATTCTTTGCTGCTCGCTCCCTCGCTGCATCTGTCTCCTCTTCTCCCCACCTCCACCCCCACCCCCACCTCTCCTTCCGCATTGGGGGAGTGGGAGGGGCCCACAGCCACCTGGCCCAGGCTCCTGCAGGATGCACAGCAAGGGCAGTATTTGGACAGCGCTCGCTGGCTACTGAGCAGGGATGTAAAATCCCGCTTGGTTAACCAGTAACCGGGTTAAAGGGAAGGTAGGCCTGGACTGGAGCAGTCCCCGGGGCTGCAGGAAGGGCCTGCCCATGGCAGCAGGGAGCTGCTCTGGCCCCCATGGGTTAACCAGAACTGGTACGCATCACCCATTAAGGGCAACACTTACGGGTGAATCTTTCACATCCCTAGCTGTGACCCCTCAGACCCAGACCTGAGCAGTTCCCCTTGAAACAGACAGGAAAGCAACCCAGAGAGCAGCTCCCAAGGACTCCGCACTCCAGCACCAGTTCCCAGCATTACTGTTGTAAATCTCTTAAACAATGGGAAAATGAAGGGTGCTCTGGAGGTTTCCCAAACTCCCAGAGACAGCCCCAGTTCTACCCACAGCTTCCCTGAGATCAGACAGCGTGTCGGCCAAGCCCCCCTTTTCCCATCACGGAGCCCAAGAGGGAGAAACAGACAACAGGGTCCTGTCCCCCTGCTATCCTCCCATGCCGGCGCAGAAACCCCTGGAGCTGCACCACCGATGTGCACAGACCCTGCTTGCACCCGCCTGGTCCCACCAAGAGGCAACTGAGCTGACACCAGAGCACTCTCTCCCACCAAAACAAAAGATTGGGCCTGGACTCGATCAACTGACCAAGGCTGCTCTGAAGCAGGAGCATAGAAACAGCCAGACCAGAGCACCAGAGTCCAGACCTCAGCACCAGCTTTGAGAACACCCCCCACCAATATCCTTCAACCTAACTCCCAGCCACTGGATCTGCCTCATGGCCAATGGTTCACATCACTCTCTGGCTGCCCTGCTGGAACTCCAGCTGGCATTGGCACACCTTGGCAGGGGTCAGACTATAGGACCCTTGCAGCCCTTCTAACCCTATCATTCTAGGTCAACAGCTAATTGTGCAAGGCCTCTGCACCTTGAGGCAGTGAGTTCCACAGGTCGGTTGTGGGGCATGGAAAAGTATTTCCTTCTGAAGTGTGCTGCTTTTTAGCATCCCTGCCCTAGCGGTTGGTCTTGTGCAGTGAGCATAGGAGAAAGGATGCACCTGATCTCCCTTCTCTAGACCGTTTCTCTTTGTGGATCCCTCTACCTCACCCTCTTCTTTGTCTGCTTGTTACACACACCCAACAGTTTCTCTCTCTCCACACAGTCTCTCCCAGCTCCTACCCAGAACACCTCCAAGCCCTACCCTCACCTGTCCAGGGACAGTCCCCTGCCACTTTCTTGCAGCCCAACAGTTCTGTGGATTTCCTGACAGCGAGGAGGGCAGACCCTGTTCTTGTGCTGAAATGTCCCACACAGGGCAGCCCCTGAGAAGGCACACGGCTCATCTGGCCCTTCTGCCAGCACTGTGAAGACGCTGCCAATGCCTGAAGACACCATGGAGAAGCAGTGCTCAGAGACAGACACCAGGGGACACCCAGGCCACCATGGCACTAAAGCAGCTCAGTCATCTGTTGCCAAAACACACTCAGATCAGCAGCAGGTTTGGAGACTGCTGAATACAGGCCTACCAGGAAGAGATGTGATTCACAGCCTCCTTACAACCAGGGCCCAGGTGAGAAAGCCAAGTGGCCCTGCAACCCTGCCAAGCCGGGAAGAATGCAGTCCCAAGAGGAGAGAGCTGCCTGAACTCTGGGTGCGAGCATTCATGAGATCAGGGGAGGCCAAGACCAGAGCCTGCAAAGGGGCTGACCCACTCCCCACAGTCCCCAGCAACTCTCTATTGGTCGCTTGGTCCCTGCTCAGAGCCATGAGTGGGGTCCTCCCCTCCCTGCAGTCAGACTGTGCAGCTCCAGACACCCCTCTGCCCTCACATCTGTGCAGAGGAGACCAGCAGCCCCCATCGATGGCTCCGCGTGGGGAGGCCTCCCGCAGGAGAGCGAATCCGATTTGAGGGATGGAGCAGCCGGAGATCCCAGGTAGCAATGCTTGCACAGCCCCGGCACTTCACACTGCAGGCTAGGGACTGACTGAATGCAAAGCAGAGACAGGGAGCATGCAGGGAGCAGGATGCATCCCTTTCCACAGCACTTTCTGCTGGCATGTGTGTCACTTCCGGGAACTCTCAGTATCGCCCCAATCTCTGCACCACAGTGAACTGGCAAGTCAGAGCAAGAGGAGCAGAGGCTAAGGGCTGTGGCAGCACTCTCCCTCTCCCCCGGACGTGCCGCTTGGCACAGAATGGCTGGAATTCTTTGTCTGGATGGCCGCATTTCTGAGACAAGAGCATGAAATGCACAGAAGGAAGATGATGCACAGAATTATCCCCCATCATGCTCCGCTCGGAGCCAAAACACAGAGGCAGCCATATCCCCAGAGGCCAGCATCCCTGGCCCACATAGAACCCCAAGCAGAACGTACCCATTGCCCAAGTGTTGTGCAGAGTCTGGCTGCTAACGCAGTAGGGCGGAAGCTGCCTGCCCCCAGCACACAGACCATGGCCACTGCTCTCACAGCCAGCCTGCACTCGGGAAGCATGCTTCCACGGCTCTGCCTCTTCAGATCTTCTCCAACTGCAGAACCCCCATTGCTAACAGCCTGGGTGCCAGAGCCTGCCATGGCATACCACAACCTTTGGGCAATCTCCCAGGCAAGGTTCTGCCCCGTGTCTTGCAGGTCAGGGCTGACAGATCTGCCTGTGAAGTCAAGGCTCCCCTGTGGGGAACCTGGCTGCGAGGTGCTCAGAGGCGGCGCTCTCGCCCGGGATTGCAGACTTTCCTGCACTGTCACTTGGGACAGAAAACATTCAGAGGCAATTTACAGCAGCAGGCTCGGATACTACCTGGAACAAGGCCTCTTTGCGCAGAACTCCGAGTAAAAGCAGCGAACTGCCTAGCAGCCCTGCACCCACCAGTCTGTCCATATGCCTTGGGTCACACACCACAGGTCATGCCCCCACTCCAGTGGGTCCAGTGACAGACAAGCCTGGGCCATAGCCCCTGTAAGTAATGAACAGCGGAGACCTGAATGGAGGCAGGGCCTGCTGGACACGTTCTGTGCCACCTCTCTAGGACCCGGGCTACCCCATCCAGAGCAAACCCACACATGCCTCTGGGTGCCACGAATCCCCCCGAGCACCAGACAGTGCTCACAAGAACCATTCCTCCCCAGCCACTGCCCCAGAGAGCCGGGTACCCAGTCTCAGCTGTGGGGAGAAGTACAGGCACTTTATTTATGCATTCATGTTACATACACACCCCAGCATCCTTCTGAGGCAGCGGGAGGAGGACGCCTCGCAGATGGCAATGGAGCTGAACAGACAATCTGCTCCCAGTTACCAATTCTGGCACTCGCCAAGTGCAGAACCAGTCAGACCAGTTAGTGCAGTGTCATTTTGCCCTCTCTTCTGCACGTGCTCCACACACACAGCTCCGCAGGTCCCCCTCCGGCCCGTTCCACTGCTCCCCAGTCCTGGCCTGCAGTCACACAGGCAGGTCCGCCCCGGAGCCCTCCTTGGCAGAGCATTTGAGTGGACACAGCTTGTGCCCGATACCACTGCCTCGGGATGTCAATCCCACTTGCACCTGACCGAAGGCAGGTCTGAGCCCAGGGTTCAGAACAATGGAAGGCCTCCCAGGCGCAGACTTGTTCTAAATGCCATCAGCGAGGCTCTTAAGCACAGGCAAGAGCCTCATCTACCACAGCATCAGTCTCCTGCATTCCCACCCCCCATGCTGCATAGCTGCCAAGTCAGCTTCCCAGCAAAGTGCGTGTCCACCTGAATGGGACACAGAACAATCCCCCTGATGTGCTTATCTGGCTTCCACTGCGGCAGTATCTGGGTCGAATGCATTTACCCTCATATGCCCCTGAGCAGCAGGCTCAGGCTCTTCTCCCGACTCTACGCATGGGGGGAGGTCCAAGAAGCTAAGGGACTTGCCCAAGGTCACACAAAGTGTCTGTGGTGGACCAAGGACTAGAAAAAAGATTTTCTGAACCAGACAGTGAGCTCCCAACGGCCTGGCTCTCTTTCCCCATGCAACCACTGTGCATGTGCGCTGGGCATGGCTACCTGACACACTGGAACTGCAAACTCTGGTTGCTAGTTATGGTCATTTGAACTCAATTTCCCAGCAAGACCACATGAAGTATTTCAAAGGAAGGTCCAACTGCACAGAGATACAAGTAGCCCAGGCACCTCAATGGTGCTACTCAAACCCCATGCTGGATGTCCAGAACTGCAAACATACAGGCACCCAGTTCATCTCAGGGCCCTGACTGCATATGCACATGGCCAACTGTACAACCATTCTAACAGCAAATGCAAATTATGCAAATGCATGCACAATGCTAAAAATGCAACCGCTAAATGTCAGCACTTAGCTATTCCCTGCAGATCCTTTTAGAAATATCTGCTAGTGAGTGGCTACTACACTGTTGTAGTATTCGTTAGCTAATAAGGGAGCTGAAGAAAGGTGGGATGTCTGCATAGGACATGGTAAGCTAAACTGGGGAACTAAGAGTTCAAATCTCTCTCCTCCAAAACTATTACATCTGCTCCTGCGTAGAATGGGGATGTATACATCCCCCAATGCCAAAAGCACCCCATCCAGGAGAAAAAATCCCAAGGGCATCTCCCA